TACATCGTCCACCTACAGTCAAGAATAAAAGGGTATCTTCAATCATAAAAATAAATAATAGTTCATCTGTCAATGTCTGACGTTGACCAATGCATCTGCAGAGAAGAATATTTCTCAAGTGAAATAGAAGGAATAAAGGTTAAGAGAACTTGTAGTTTCTGCTTTTCTTAAAGTTGCCAGTTCTGGCAGAGGAGAGTTTGCCACATTTTAATAATTTAAATGCTTTATTTCCACTCGAGGATGTTGGCTGCTTGCAGACATCTGTCAGTCAACAGAAAGTAAAGTACATGTACTTTATTCTAATGACATGTTTATGGCTGTGCATTTTGAATTGTGGCTGTTCTATATAATTGTTACACTCTTGCACAGTTGTTAGTTCCATCAATTAGAAGCTCTGTGAGTGTTTGGTGGGCGCCTTGGTGTGGTTTGGCCCTTCTTTCTTCTCAAACATCTGTCGTGCTTATCTCTCCCCCTTTTCTTTATATGTTACTCTTTAGTTACTCCTCTGATCTTCGGCCCTTATTATATGATCTATTTGTGTTGCAAGTATAGTAAACTCTTACTAAAATAACAAAGCTCAACAGTGATCTATTGGAATATTTGTTTGTTCTGTACTCAGTAGCAGTATTGAAAGCTTTAGTTTTGAGAACATATGGAGTTATGTGGTAGGTGTTTTGGTGTTTTTTTTTCTTTATGTTATGGATGGATTCCTTTCAAAATGCATACGGTGGAACTGCCTCTTCCATTATGCTCAAATACGCCCAAGTTTTGTTTGTTTGTTTGCAGGTTGTTTTTTAAAAATGTTTTTTTTAAATATGATGTGGAGCGATTAATTTCAGAGTGCTCACAGTGGAACTGCCTCTTTCAGTGTCCTCGAAGGAAGGCAAAGTGTTTATGTTAAAAAAACAAAAACAACAAACACTTTTGTTTTAAATGGTGTGTTCATAAAACAAAGAAGCAAAGTTTCCTGTCTGAGTTGGTTCCACTGTAGTCATAGAGACAAAAACCCCCCCAAAACTTAAACTACTCCCCTGCTCTTGTCAGGTTGTGGCCCCGTCCCTAAAGTGACCCCTGACCTTTCTCCCCCAGCTTTGACCCCGCTCCTGTCCCTGAGCCCCCCGCCCAGTGGCCGCGACTACTACTTCAACCTGGACGACACGGAGGGAGCTTGTGATCTCTTTGATGTGGACATCTCCAACATGCTGTCTTCCTAGTACAGGGCAGGAGCTGCTCTTGTGCCTCGAAAAATTTGTTGACTCGTTGGACACTCACAGTTCAAGACTTTCACATGCTCAGAGCCTTATCACTGCTTATAAATGCTGAATTTTGTAGACTGCGCGTTGTTTGATTCGGTTGGGGAGTTTTGTGACTGCGTTGCATTTGTGCGGTTTGCCACTCATGAGTGCTGTACAGCACTGAGAAACCTACTGCCCTACATCTTTACAGCTATGATTGCTGCAGGTGCTATAGATGTGCCCGTAAGACAGATGTCATAATCTTGCACAAGAGGCTTCATTTTTTTTGTTTCATTTTGTGGCTTTAAGAGTTTGATTCTCATGTTCATCATCTTTTTTTTTTTTTTTTTACATCTCAACTTGTACCAATTTTCAGTTGCGTTTTTTTTTCTTTTCAAATTGCCTGTCTCATCATCTGTTCCTTTTTTCTTATTTTATTTTTATTTGATTTGTAGGCCTATTTGGTCTTTTATGTTTTTGTGACCACGGATGTTTTTCTTTTCTTCTCGTTCAACCTATAGAGTGATCCACATACCTCTCATCAAGACAACTATTTTTGAAAATGGAACCAGAAAAATGTTTACTACAGATTCAAAAATTTGCTTTGGAAGAATATATTTTTCCATTTTAGGCACTGATTTTTGTATTTTTGTAATGTAAATTTTCTTCAAATGAAAAGGCTACTGAAACAAAAGCACAGATGTTTTCCAGTCGTTCTTCAAGTAAGTGACGGCACATTGTCTTTCAGATTTCTCTCACATAGCAAAATCTGCAGTGTACTTACTGCTAATGACATTTAGATTTTGCTCTCTTGTTTTACCCTCATACCTTTTGAGTATTGGGGAGACCACAAATGTGAGAAATTCAACAGTTTTGGCAGGCTCATTTGACAGTATGCAGTTGTGAGCACTGTAAGACAGTTACCAAAAATAAAACCTAACAAAATTCTGCACTTTTGTTAGCACTCTCTCTTTCAAGTTGAATGACATTAAGAGAAGCCAAATTCTCAAAATATTTGACTCTCATAGATTGCTGAGACTGGGTTTCAAAGTAAACTAAAAAAAAAAGGTGAAAGGTTTTCTGATTGCATATATCCTAAAAGGCTGAAGAAAGTTGTCTTTGTCGTTAAGTTACTTTCGAAGAGCCTGCTTTGGTGTAAAGTTAGTCTGAAGCTTTTTGTACAGTTTGTGTATAATGTTATAAAGAAATTTTGAAGTGAGAAAGTCCAAGAAGTCGTCGTGATGTGCCAGATTGGGCGTGAAAGGCTTCCGTCTGTTCAATGCTACTGCTGTAGGTGGTACCTTTTGATGCTGGGCCTGCAAATGGATCATTTGATGAAGTTGATGGTGTTTTCAATTTCCAATCATCCTTGTTTATGATGATCAGTGGGCCTGGGCATTGTTGTGATTTTGTGTAAAGATGTATCATATTTGTGGCCGACTCCAGCTTGCACACTGCTGTTCTTTTCTCTGAGTGAGCAACTTGTAACGAACATTTCCACATACCATGGCTCACAGGTTTTTTTACAGGTCATTTACCATTGGGGGGAAAATTTTGCTTACATTACATTTTGTTTTGCTGGTGGAGGTGAATGGGTTTGTGTGGCCTGTAAGAAGCTTTTTGCCATGGTTGGTTGCTTTTGTACTTTAGTAGCGCAAGTTGTTGCTTCTCAATCAGGTCTCTTTTGGTCCTCTCGTGCTTTCAGCCTGTCTGTGGGTTCCTCCCTGAGGCCGGTCATGTTTCGTAAATCCATTGTGCGTCTGTCGCGAAGTGATAGCAACATGCACACCACTCTTTTTATACAGCCTGAACCAGTTCAAAAGTGCGTGAAGTCATAATAAGTAGTGTGTTGTTTCTTTTTAAGTGGGGCTTCCAGTCATATGAAAAGTCAGTGACTGTTTCTTGGTTCAGTGTATAACGAAATATTTTTGGATCCCACATGATTTTTGTGGACTTTAAATATTGTACTCTTGCTCATTTCCTAAACATGTTTTGTCTGATTAAAAGGCTGTGTTGTGTGCAGCAGTGCACAGGTTATAATGGTGTTGAATATGATCGAACTAAGTGATCCTGAGGCCCCGTTTTTCTGCTACCGTACCTTTCTGTCACTCCCAACTTTTTTTTATCTTTCAAGTTTATCACCCTGTTTCTCATATTTTTAAAAGCAACTGGCTAGGTCTTATTTTATAGAAAGTTTTGATGTCCTTTTGTATACAAGAGTTTACCCTTTATTGTAGTTTGAGAACGAACTGTTTGATGAAGCTTTTTAGAGTTGATAGTTCAGTTTTACCTTTTTGTAGTCATTGCAGGACTGGTTTTTGGTGTGGACAGTTGAATGTAGGCTTACAGTTTGTACAATATTTTCTTGTAAATACAAAGTGTAATATTTCCTGTAGTAAAGATTTCCTTTTTTTTATATATTGCCCTTGTATAAAGGACAGCTTTTTGTTTGATTTTACAATTTTCAACATTTGTATGTACAGAGACATGTCCCATCTCTCTTAGTTTTCTTTAGTCTTGGAACCATAGTTAAACAGCATTTGCTAACTCTAGTGTAATGTTAACTTTTCTGGATTCTTGTGTAGTGTTTTCACTAGATGCTTGACATATTGCTGAATTTCTCTTTTTTGGCGTATGATTTCTATTAGCTGATGAATTTTGAGTTGAGTAACTTTTTAAAAAACATATAATGAATGGACAGTTGTTTCAGCTCAGGACAGGGAATGACTAAATCGTGAATTATACAAGAAAGTTCTTCTTGAGATAATTAGAGACCTAATGTGTGGATGCTTTTTTCAAACGGCTGTAGGGGGTGATGCGTTCTGTAACCAGTAGAGTTTCAGTTGGCGCCTCGTGCTGTAACAAAATATAAAGCATCGAAGTATTACAGGAGGATCCTCTGCCATAAAGTAAGAATCACTTACTGTATATCATGTAAAAGCAAAATATATTGGATAGATAAGATAATGCAGTAGTCTCCGCCTAAGATCCCGGTGCTCGGGAGCAAGGAAATGCGGGATCTTAGGCGAACTGGGATCTTAAACGATGAACCCAGGGAAGAATCTATGGTGACCCATGTTAAGGCTCACAATCGGTAAAATGGTCTCCCTCCTCTCTACACTGAACTGACGTGCCCCCTTGGTGGGTTTATGGCATATGACGAGCAAAGAGTGGTTAACCTTGATGACCTATCACGGTGCATAGTGGCATGAGGCGTGCCATTTTCACTTATAATCCTATCACGAGTCTCAAGATCTACGCTTATCCAGTTGCCCCTCCTCTTTACCTGTCAAAAATTTATAGCTTTCCATCTCTGACCGAGTTCCCCCCTCCCCTCCAAACCGCCTTTGTCGTTACACACCATTACGTTGTGAACCCACCAATTAAAATTCAGTCTGTCTCGCAAATTCGGGAGTACAGACAACTGCTGCAATGGTCAAGGAAGAGTTCACGATTCGATGTGATCCTGCTTGGAGCGAACGTGTAGGCCCTACCCACCCAGCAAGTGATGCAAGTTTAGGTGGCGAGCTCAGGTGTGAGTGCGGTGCGTGGGGAAAACAAACGCGTCGGTCAGTTCACACCCCGGTGTGGTCCCGTCTGGGGCAAACATTGTATCGCTTCATTGAGTTTTTACAACGTGTATGTGATCACATTCACGATAATGGTTGATCTTTGACGCGACGGACAGTTTATTGATCTCAACTTTTCACTCTAGGTTGATCGGCTGTGCCCGCCCGGGTTTTTGTTTAGCAAATTATGATCTGAAATGCGGGATCTTAGCCGAATGTAGACCATCAGAGCGGGATCTTAGGGGTGACTTTTGTATAGTAAAAATTCTGTTTTCCTAAAACAACGGGATCTTAATTAAGCGAACCGGGATCGTAAGCGGTGGGATCTTATGCGGAGACTTCTGTACTTTACTGTTCCAGCGGGAAATCCTTACGAGATCCGTAGCTATAAACGCCACAATGAAGTATGGTAAGTGGGTGGTTGGAATGGGCTCTGGTGTGGTTTGCTTCTTGCTTCTTCTTTGCTATCAAACATCTGTCGTCTTTATCTCCCCTCCTTCTTTTTTGTGTGTGTTATTCTCTTGTAACACCTCTAATCTTCGGCACTTATATGACCTTATTGTGTTGCAAGAGCTGTAAAACTCTTACGAAAACAATTTTCCTGAAGTATGGTAATCATATGTTTTTGACCCCTGGGTCACATAGGCAAAATCTATGCTGTTAATGTACAGCTTAAGTTTGAAGAGCCATGCTACGAACTCTGAGATATAGGCCTACTACATGGGGATCTCAGTACAATTGACACCAAGCTGTAGTGAGTGTTTGTTTGTGGACACTTTTCTGTTTTCTCTATATTTATATATCCTCCATTGATCTTTGTTGTCCCTGGCTACTGTGCCAAACAAGTGCCGGTGAGATGCTGTGTTGGAAGAAGCTTGTCAATTTTTGTGTCTTTGGGGAGTGTTTATAAAGAGCTAAAAGTGTCAGGTTTCAGGGATTCTCCCCCGCCCATCTTTTTACTTGTGTACTCATTCTGTGCTGGTGGATGGTTGGCAGGTGCACTGGTTTGGTTTGCTCCTTCTTCCTATCTATCATTTTATTGTCATTGTCTCTTCTCCTTGTCTGTGTATGTCACTCTTTTATAACACCTTTATTCTTTTCGGCACTTATATTACCTTATTGTGTTGCAAGTGCCGTAAGTCTCTCACTAAAAGTAAAGAAATGTGTTATGTCAGGTTTTACTGTTTCTGTTTTGCTACAGCTGTTTCGTCATAATATTTTGTATTTTGCCTTACCAGTAGCCTACAAGTGCTTTCCTGTGAATATTGTAGACTCTCCATCAACAGCCTGAATTTTCCTCTCAATGACCACTTGTGTCTCATCATTTTCATTCTGCATTCTCGCAAGTCATTTTTGTTGTTGTTGCAGGTTGAGGAAATGTGTGTACAACATATTTCTTGTCAACATTTTGGTCCCTTAGATTTTTTGATTTTTTTGAAAATAGTAAAGTAGTTGGTACTAGTAGTCTGTTATTTTGCATATTTTGTTCAAGGTAAACTATGAAGTAGGTAGGCATCGTAGTAGTATTTGTAGGCTCGTCAGCTAATAGCTCAGAAATGGCCATGGTCATTTTGGATTGGGCGTGGCGTGTCGTGTCGGTGAGCTGCCAAGAGCATTGCCTGTGTTTTCTTAGATGTTGGGTGGTCTGGTGTCCGGTATGGTCCAAGCGGGGCTTTTGTTTTGGTGTTCAGTGTGGCTCCCCTCGGCGTAGCACTCACCGTGATGTGTTCAAAAAGTTTAAAGATTTTTGTCATTCCTTACAATTACTTCTCTTGTACAGTATTAGATTTGTCTATATGCGATGCCATCACAGTAATGTACCGATTGTTTGAACTCTTTTCATATCCTTAAAAAAAAAGAATGTACAGTACAGTGCGGAATATTCAATGTAAACTCAGTTTGAATGTGATACAGAAATCTTCTCCAATTGATTGGAGGCCTGTGGCGTGTGTGGAAACTGCTCCGTGTCAAGTTTCTACGCGTGGCAGCAAAACTTTTCCGTTCCCCTCCCAATCATAATACTACATGTATTTGCATATATATGAAACAAATCCTAATACATGTACTGGAGACGATACAGTTGATGTAAAAAAAAAGAGTTATTTTGTTCAACATCAGAATGTTTCATCTGCAGTTTTGACATACTGAATTGCAAATGGAACATTTTGATTTTTGGCATACAATTTATCCTCTATATCAAAGCCCTTTGGTATGCATATGTATTGTTTTATTGTTAGTTTTAAAAATAAATAGTACTTTACAACAAACTTGTTTTTGTTGTTTTATTATGTAAGATTGTGCATCAGGTACATGTACATGTATGTTTTCCTCCCTTGAAGTACAATACAGCCTCTCTATACCGACCTTCGTTACAACGACGTCCTCTGTATAACGACATGGTGCCCAGGTCCCTATTTTTTACTTTATATATATCATTAGTAATTTTTGGTCACCTCTTTTTAGCGACAGCTCTCTACAACATTTTTTTCTGGTCCTGATGTGGTTATAGAGAGGCTGCACTGTACCTGAAAAGGGGGTGGTTTGTGGGTGCTGTGGTGTAGTTTGATCCTTCTTTTCTATTACACATCTAGATTATTGTCCTTATCTCTCCTTCTTTTTTATGCATTACTCGCTTGTAACACTTCTAATCTTCGGCACTTATAATGACCTAATTGTGTTGCAAATGCTGTATAACTCTTTCCAAAACAATTACGTACCTAAACCATAGAATGCCTGTCTGTCATCACTTGCGGATGAAAAAAAAAGGGGGGGGTGGGGGGGTTGGTTCCCTGATTTCATGTTGATGGCATCTTGTATTGAAAGTAATGAAAACTAGTGGTTGGAGGGTGTCCCTGGAAGGTTCTACTTTTCTTACTCTCTACTGTTTCTGTCTTTGTCTACCTGTCTTTTTTCCCTGGATAAGATGTCCGTCGGTGGATGGCGGGTGCTCTGGTGTGGTTTGCTTCTTCATTCTTATCAAACATCTATCGTCCTTATCTCTCCCCTCATTTTTTGTGTGTGTTATTCTCTCGTAACACCTCTAATCTTCGGCACTTATATGACCTTAGTGTGTTGCAAGTGCCGTAAAACTGTTACTAAAACAAGATGACCGTTATTGTGTCAATGTGCTTCTCTTTACGAAAACAAAACAACCTAAATGAAAGTGGCGAGACTTCTCTACCTTGAGTTGTGGGGTCTCATTGCTCTACAACCCCCTTCTTTCAGATACAATAATTTTGTTCTGAGTTTGTTTCCGTAATAATTTTGGTGAGTTGCCGGCGCCGTAAAACACTTACCAAAACACTTACTAAAACAAACTTATGATAAATAATTGTATCTGAAAGGAGAGGGTTGTGGAGCTATGAGACCTCTCAAGTCTTTGTACAGAATTCACACTGAGGGGTCATGAGTGGCCATTCCCAAAGGGGGGGATATTAACATGTTCATATGTACAGTAGAATTGTAAATGGACTGATTTATCAATGTCATGCCCATACTGTGCCGGAAAAACATAAAAGGGGACGAACTGCTGCTTTTTCTTTCTTCATCCTTGCTATCGTCATTTTTCCTATTTCTTTTGTATGTTTGTCACTCTCTTATGAACTGCTATTTCCGGGGTGCCTTGATAGTCGAAGCAGATTTTGTGCTGTTGAGGCTAGAGAGGTGAGCAGGGTAAGCCTGATTCCCCGTTTGGACATCTGTTGACATCCACCCCTTGGCCCACATATGACCGTATGCAGTTGCGAGCGCCGTAAAACCTTACTAAAGCAAATAGAAGTCACACAGAAGAGTCATGAGTTGGGAGAGTTAGGATCATTAATCGCCTCTGGAAGTCTCGCCACTTTCATTAAGGTTGCTCCTCTGCACTGTTTCGGAGTTCTTTATTTAATTTTTTTTAAAATATGTGTATGGAATCAGTCTTGCTTTTGCCCTGCACTAAAAATGGCAATTCTGTCAATGCGCTAACTTTTTTTTAAACAATCGGGAACGTATATTATGTGAATTGATTATTTTGCATTTTTAGAGAAAAAAAAAGGAGGAGGAGTTGAAGCAAAATGTACCAGAGTCTGTGCTCTAGCGGTCAGGCGCTTTATTGTCGCACGCAAGAGAAACCGAGTTCGATTCCCGAGTAGGGAGAACATAATATTATTTTTCGAGTATCTCCGCCTTTCTGCTGAGATGTTGTATCCCTCTTCTTGGACTGGGTTGGCTCTGACACGTAGGGTCGGAAACCCGCCTCCTGAACAATCTAAATTATGACGATGGGGGGGGGGGGGGGGGGGGGGGGGTTAAAAACAACAATATTTAAAAAGTATTTTAAAAAAGCATGTTTTACTTTGTATTATTGTACACGTCTGTTTAATTTCCTCTTTGTAGTTTTCTGGTTCCCTGCTGCTATCGACACATTCTTTGAGATTTCAGACATTTTCTCTCTAGCTTTCTCTCCTTCTGTTGTGAATGTTCTTGCTGAATATTATAATAATATCCTTTTCACGACGAGATCGATGCTTCTGACGGTCGTTACTAGATGTTGACTCGAGGTAAACAGCTCACCCACCGGCCACTCCCGGGATTCTCACAAGGAACATGACGTTTGGATCGAGTTGATCGAGTGTGGGGAAAAAAGTGAGTGGTTGCAGGCAGCTACTCTGGTGTGGGTTGCTTCTTCTTCCCCATCAAACATCTGTCGTCTTTATCCCCCCCCTCCCCCCCCCCCTTAACTTCTTTTCTGTGTATGTTACTGTTATGTAACACCTCTTATCTTCGGCTCTTATAATATGACCTACATTATGTTTGTGTTCCGTGTCGCAAATGTCGTAATATTCTACAAGGAACGTTTGGATCGAGAGGGAAAAAGTTGCAGGTGCAGGACCAACATTGGAGCCCCAGGAAGACCTGTATACATATATACGTATAAACTTATTAACGAACAATCCGTACAGATGTAGATCTACTTCCAAACTTTGTGAATGGCCTGAGTGGGGACTCTGGTGTGGTTTGCTCCTTCTACTTTTACAATCTTCAACATTCGCACCTCTCCTCCTTTTCTTTGTACGTTACTCTTTAGTAACATCTCTAATCTTTGGCACTTATTTTATTATTATTATTAATAATAATAATATTATTATTATTATGATCTATTTGTGTCGCAAGTGCCGTAAAACTCTTACGAATACAAGGAACATGATGCTTGGGTCGAGAGGGGAAAATTTACACGTGCATGAGCAACACTGAAGCCCGAGGAAGACCTATATAATAATATATATTTATAATTGTTACTGTTTGAGTTTGTACAGATTTACCACCAAACGGACCGGGTGGTTGGTACGTGTGTGTGTGTGTGTGTGTGTGTGTGTGTGTGTGTGTGTGTGAGTGTGTGTGTGTGTGTGTGTGTGTGGGGGGGGGGGGGGGGGTGACACTGGTAGTTCCTTCTTCTTTTCTTTCCCTCCTTTGTTTCTGTCTGTGTTGTCTGTCTTACTTTTCTCCCCTGTGCTAAAGTACTGGTTACTGTGCCGACGGGCTTTTCTTTACTCAAGCAAACAAAATTAAGAGAACTGCCTCAGAACTGAAAAGTAACCATTATCTTATATTATACATTGTATAAATAAATGCTCGCACATAGATACATGCACGAGCTTGCACAGTCACACTTACACACCCGCACGCACACACACACACACACACACACACACACACACACACACACACACACAAATACACACACACACACTTGCGCATAAAACACACACATACACTCGCGCATAAAAACACACATACATACACATACACACACACCTTCGAGTATAACACCCCCCCCCCAACACACACACACACACACACACACACACACACACACACACACACACACACACACTTTCCCCACCCCAACTGCTCTCACAAACGCACGCAAATTACATCCACACGTACAACCCACTCTGACATGAAGATCCTTTCTTGTCTTCACATACACTGATATAACATTGAACTCACTCAGCACCACTTAATTATTGCGTCAGCACCCACAAGCAGAGAGGAGAGTTATTAATAGTAGACCAACATACCGATGGCTAAGCGCAAGAAGAAGTGACTATACAGGTACTATTACTATATCCGCTTTTGATCGGAATGGATTAATCAATATGGGCAGTGAGATTTTAAGCCGCTCTTGTACCTCTTTAAAATATCTACGCCGTAGCTCAATTCGGTATCGAGACATTAACGTTTAAAAAATATATATATTTTTTTTACTGTGTTATAGAGATCAAAATCGTCAAAATTTGAAACTCGTTTTTGTCGAAAGTCACTTCCTGTGCTCAACTGCGCTTAACCGTCGATATTTTGAAGTACAGTCTCCAGCACATGTACATGTAATATTGTTATACATTTTTAAACGTGTATTTTATATCCCTTTTAATTCTTAAAATTTTACCTATAGAATCTACGTGCGAAATAAATGAGACGTAGCTCAGAGCTGGTTGGCGGGTGTTCTGGTGTGATTTGCTCCTTCTTTCCTATGAAATATCTATCGTCCTTTCTCTCCTCCTTCTTCGTTGTCTTTGTTGTTGCTCTCTTGTTGCACGTCTAATCATCTGCACTTATATGACCTTATTGTGTAGCAAGTGCCGTAAAATTCTTACTAAAATAAAATAAAAGAAGTGTGGAAAAGTTAATACTTTACAAAATGTATTTTCTTGAGGGAACAGAAGCATACCGCCACCACCCCTCCTTTTTTTGATCATTCCTTTAACTTTAACCAATATTGCTATGACTATGAGCTTCAACTTCCGGAGAAAGTCCATTATTTCATCATTCAACTAGTGACAATATAAAAATTAGCAACTTGTAGAGACAGTTGTAAAAAAAAGGAAAGAAAACAAGCCAAACGATGGTATCACTTTATTAACAAAATGCTGTCTGTCTATTAGGAGAACAGAGTCGGGAAATGAAACACTAAACAAACAAACAAACAAATAAATAATGAACTCCCCCAACATCCCCGAAACCATGTCATGATAAACAATTGGCAAGTTGAGCTCAAATCTTTCCAAAACTTCACATCTAGTGCTGGTTAAATACAATACAGTAGATGTAAAAAGTGCAGTTTGACCTGATAAATTGATGTGCTTTAACTTTAAAAAGACCAACCCCCCCCCCCCCTTTAAACAAATGATTTTAAAATGCCCAAAACATAACAATAATAAATAAATACATGAATGAAATGAATAAATAATATTAAAGAAAAAATATATAATTTCATAAAGTAACAAAACTCTGTAATTGACAATGTTCATAAAAAAAAAAATCCGTCCTAACCAGAATGTTGGAAGTTGTAGTATTACAAATTAAGTAAACAAGAGGTAGGGTCTATCCGCATAATGGACAAATGAAAGAAATGAGGAAAGGATTAATAATTATAACTTCATAAAATACTTGTACTTGTAGCAGCTGCAGCTAACTTTAATCCCCCCCCCCTCCCACCCCCACCCCAAATTTAAAAAAGAAAAAAAGAAAAGAAAATAAGTACCAAGCAATTTTCCAACAATGGTAGGGCTGTCATTATTAAAAAATAAAATAAATGAACAAAAAACAGTTTTTGGTTTCGTCCTGAAATCCGTCCGAACAGCAAATGCCGGATCGTACCGACAGGGGGAAAAATATCACTTTAATTTAAGCAGAAACAGCGATTCATCGACGCTAAATTCAAAGGAAAAGACCCACTCAATGAGGAAGTCTGTAGTTGCAACATGTATAGAACAGGATATATCACAGGCTGTTGGATTATATTAGTATTATTAGTGGATATCGCACGGAGAACACATTACTCGAATTATGAGTTTTAAAATTAAGGACATTAATCAACACCAAACTGAAGCGAAATACGTTACATAACCATTTATGTCATAGCTCGCCCCCCGCCCCCCCCCCCCCCTTCTCCAAATGAAACCAACAAACAGATCCTGAGGGAATACTTTTACAGAGCTTATGAAAAACGAACCCGTGGCCCACCCAGCTGTTCGAGTAGAACCTCCACATTATTCATCTTTTATCAATTGTCAATTGATTGATAATTTGATCTTATCAAAGAAACAAATCCATCTCTGCTAGATTCTAGATTCATTATCGAAATAAGATAATAAAAAAAGTAAACCGTGTTTAGTTGTGTCCCCCCCCCCCCCAACCAAAAAAACAAACAAAACCCCAACAACAAAACAAGGCGTAAGCGACTTAATTTTCAAAGTTAAGATTCTAGTGCTCACGGAAGGAAACAGAAAGTTTTGGTAAAATTCCAACAAGTCTTAAACAAGAAAGGTCATTGTAGGCTTAAATCATCATTACGAGTTAACATTATAATAAAATGCAATCTTAAGCGACATAATTAAAACACATCTTTGCATAAAAAGGAACAGTTTGCCACAAGGTAGCAAAAGGGACAGTGGTATCATATAACATTAGCATTACAACAAGCCTGACTGAAGTTTTAATTCTTTTATGAAAAATATTGGTGAATCAGCAGTCTTCCCCCAATCCCTCTGAAAACATTGGTTAAGTGTCGAAATAAAAAGAAATTGGTACAGTTCAAAGTAAGTCACATTTCATGTCATCAATGAACATTAGGCTGGCACTCCTGTCTATGGGATATCAATATCAACAATTCAAAAGAAAATAAGTATACTGTGCCTCAAACTTTGTCACTCGAATTATCTTGGTTTTGTTTCATCAGAATTAAGCAATACCGGTAAAAATACAAACGTACTGACACTTCCAAAAAATGGACATAAGATTAAGAAAAAGAAATCACATATTTCAAGATATCGCATGATGGCTGAAACTCTACCTTTTAAGAATAAAAAAGATAATGTATTATCATAAAGCATTTGTTCCATGGCCAGTCGGTGTATATTATAAATGTATACTTTTCTCATCTTAATAAGGACGGTATCGTGCATAATGATAAACAAAGTTATATCGAGAGAAAGGACGGAGTACTCATCAAATCAATGATCATTTGACGGCGCAGCAGTAGATTCACATGTGTAACGTCAGCTGCTTGAACTTAATTAAAGGGGAAAAAAGAGAACGATGAAGTAAATGCTATTATCTTCGTATTGCACAGTGCTATGACAGCATAGTAAGGATCATTTTGATGAATTCTCAGTCTGTTGTGCTATATGGGCTTTACTACCGGCTAGATTCTACAACCAAAATACGTGTATAGTTTGTGTCGGCATGCGTTGAAGACATAATGTATACATGTACTATCTATGTTATAAGATGATAAACCTCAGATTTAACGTCCATCTTTGATAAGACCGAGCCCAGTGAGAAAAAACGATGTTAAATGACTTTCCACACAACTCGACACGGGACCGAACTGAGACTTGAACTCCGGAATCCGATCTCACGATTATGTGTCCACTAACTACCGATGTCACTCGGACAAAAGCAACTTTTAAAATTTTTGCTTTGGATCTAAACGAGTTTATACATCTGATCCAGCGGATTTTTGTCATTATAAAAAAACAACCCCCCCCCAAAAAAAACACAACAACAAACAAACAAACAGGACAATACAAGCAGTAAATCGTGTTAAGGCTTCTTCTGTGCAAGTTCATCATGGCATGTAGGCCTACGTATTACGCTAAACGTTAAAGAATAAAGTTCAATTCCCGCAATCAGCTGTTATATTGCAAAAAGCCTTTGTACAAACTTTCAGAATCATGTATTCCAATAAGATGCGTTTCGCCGCTTTCTGATTTGTTTTGTGTGAGTGTGTTAAAAGTCACCTGTCTAGATGAATATTCCTCACAACAAGCAGGAGGGGTTGGTTAGGCCGGAAAACAATACTCCTCTTCAATACTCTGAAATTTGTAACCTTCTTTATGTACCAATAGAGCTTTATCAGTTGAAAATGGAGAAAAAAACCCCTCAATCTTTTGTATATTACGAGAGCGTAAAGCTAGAATAATCATGTCAAAGAGGGAAAAAATATAGGAAAAACAAATCCCGCAAAAAAGAAAACCCAGACAATAAAACAAATAAACTCCAGTTGCATTTCATGTTCTGTCTTCTTGTGACCAACCGTTGTGTTCTCAGTAGACTGACCAGCAGTTCACTTTTTGTTCCGTTCGTCTGAAGGCATGGGAAGTCAACGGTGCGTTTAGAAATGCCCTCCTCGTCCATTTTACATGATAGTGCAAGCGGAACTTCCGCTTTTCTCTTTGCCGTTGGATCCTTTTACAGCCTGCTTGTGGCCGCCATTTGCAGCCTGAGATAAAGAGGGGAAAATGTGAGACGTTAGATGACACCCAAAGGCAAAATATTAATATAGTTTATTGTCTATTACAAGTCTTACATGATACAAGAAAAGTTTCACTGTTTCTTTCCTTCTTGAAAGTCACTATTAGTTGTTTTTCAGTTGAAAATGAAAAAAAAAAAAAAGACTTGTCATGGAAATGATTTTGGAAATAACTGAAACATAAACATTTATCTTTTTTCTTTAATCTCGTAAATACAACTGCTTTTTTTTCAAAAACAAAGCGGAATACAAATGGATGCAACAGTGACAGCTTTGACTTTATCATTAGGCTTACACTTTACTATTAACTATGCAGGTTTAGGCTGCAAAAGAGAACAAAACAAACTAATTAAGAGAAATAAAAATTAAGTCCGACATCACATATATATTTACTTTACTTTTACAGACTTTTGCTATGAAAGTACACACTAAAAGGAGATGGGTGAGGGAAAAGAGTGGAGGTTGGTTGGTTGGTTGGTTGGTTGGTTGGTTGGTTGGTTGGTTGGTTGGTTGGTTGGTTGGTTGGTTGGTTGATCAAGGGACTTGGTTGTTTGTTGTTGTACATGTATTTGCTTATTTGTCCGATGTCGGGTGCTCTGGTGTGGTTTTCTCTGTATTTTCTATCGAACATCTATCGTCCTTACTCCCTTCTACTTCTTTTCTGTGTATGTTACTCTCCAATAACAACTCTAATCTTCGTCGCTAACGCGACCTATTTGTGTTGCAAGTGGTGTAAACCTCTTCCTAAAACTAAGACCTGTGGTAACTACATGTACCTAATGGACCACAGTGGGCAATAATAGTATTTGTATTAATGAATGGTTAGTCCGTCAACGTTTGACGGTGACCAGAGGATCGGCAGAGAAGAATAATATCTCTTAGGCGAAATAAAATAAATAAACGTTAAGATGACTTGTGACTCCTGTGTTTTATGTTTTAGTAAGAGATTTATGGCACTTGCAACACTGTGAAGTTGTATAAGTGTCGAAGATTGGTAAAAATGTTACAAAAGAATAACAAACACAAAAAACTAAGGAGGAGAGAATACGGACGATAAATGTTTGAGAGAAAAGCCGATTAAGCGCTCACAAACACTAACAAACTGACAAGCTCCCAAACACGAACAAACTGAGGAGCCCTCTCAAACACGAACAAACTGACGAGCCGTCAAACAGTAACAAACTGACAAGCGCTCAGATACTGAAAAACTGAGCCCTCAAACAATTACAAATTGACGAGCTCTCAAACCCTTACAAACTGACAAGCGCTCCCAAACACTAACAAACTGACAAGCTCCCAAACACTAACAAACTGACACGCGTACACAAACACTAACAAACTGACGAGCCCTCAAACACTAACAAACTGACGAGCTCTCAAATACTGAAAAACTGACGAGAACAGAAATTCCCCGGGGGCGGTGCTACTGACTGAAGTGTCTTTATGCCATTCCCAAAGGGGGGGGGGGGGGGGACATTAATATCTCGAGTTCTTATGAACAGTAGAATTGTAATTGTAAACGGGATGATTCATCAA